CATGCAAAGATTAGCTTCCCTACTTTTAGGCTAATGTTTAACCACTAGATCAAACTATTTTTTAACAAGATAACTTCTAATATATCATTTTCTTTTAGCTTTCCCCCCCGTACTTATATTTTATAGTATTTTAAATCATAAACCACTTTATCTCAGAAATGAGGTATACATTAAATTATTACAAGTATAATTTGATTTGAGATGGCTGACAGTTTAAGATAAAATTCAGTTAAATAAATAATACCTCTCAGACTAACAAGAGGAACAGCATTTGTATGAACGGGTGTGGCATATATTTTATCCAGGTACTAAATTTGAAATAGGCTGAAGATGGAAGAAGAAACTAGCTTGATTCAATCAGTCTTCCCTTAAAAATGAATATTAGTGTTAGAAATGTCAGTCTTTAGTGCAGGGATGTCAAACTCAAGGCCCAAGGGCTGAATCGGCCCACGAGGTGCTTAGATCTAGCCCACGGAGCCACCCAGGAAACAGCAAAGGACCTGCTGCGGTGCCTCTGCCAGTGAAAACAGAGCTCAGGAGGGCCACATGCAGCCCTCCCTAGCTCCCTTTTTGCTGGCAGAGGGTTGCAGAAGGCCGTCATGGCCAAAAACGGAGCTTGGGAGCCCATTTTCACTGGAAGAGCACTTGGGCCACCACAGATGCCCCAAAACAAGTGATGTTGACATGGCCACACCCACCCTGGCCATGCCCACCCGGCCCCACAAGTTCAAACACAACTCTGATGCGGCCCTCAATGACATCGAGTTTGACATCCCTGCTTCAGTGCATTGAATACGCAACTTAACCGTGGATTAGAATTTTTATAAAAATAAAAGCATAGCAATATGCTGTATGTGTATGATTTTATACACATACTGGGTTTTTTGTTTGTTTTAATTTGATTTATATGCCGCCCTTCTCCGGAGACTCAGGGCGGCTTACAATGTGTTAAGCAATAGCCTTCATACTTTTGTATATTTATACAAAGTCAGCTTATTGCCCCCACAAACTGGGTCCTCATTTTACCTACCTTAGAAAGGATGGAAGGCTGAGTCAACCTTGAGCCTGGTGAGATTCGAACTTACAGTAATTGCAGACAGCTGGTGTTAATCACAATGCTTTTAGTCTGCTGAGCCACCAGGCCCTTTATTTAATCTTCAACTGCCAATGCTATACAGCAGCTCATTAGAATCTGCATATATATTATTTGTTTTATGAGCAGTCAAATATTATAAAGTCTACATGCACTTTCTGAAGAAATTAGATTGAAATGAATACCCTCATGATGTACAGTATATATTAAGAAACATGTCCTGTTATAAAATGTTTTCAGTAAGATTTACCTTATAGTTTTTTTTTAATAGTTTCATTGATATGTAATACTTTTGCAGGCTATATTTAACAGATTAAGAATACATATATAATTGCCTGGGGGAAAATGCATTGCATTTCAAGTTATGCTTTTCCAAATTTTTCTGTGTTTCTTGCTCATATTGTTTATATATGCATAAACAATATACTGAAAAATTGTCATACCTCTATGAGCCCTATTTTCTTTTTTAATTCGAAGCTAGGCTCTTCTATTGCCAGGAATGCAATCAGGACAATTAAAAATGCTTTGATGAAATGATTCTTTTCTGGTATAAAGACCACATCACATTTTAAAAGTCTCACCGGCATCTTAACTTTTTTACTGTTCAATTGTGTCTGATTCTTGGAGACTGCCTGGACAAGTCGCTGCCCTTTCTTGACAAGGTTTTTCAGAAGTGGCTTGCCATTGCCTCTTTTCTAGGTGGCTTTGTGCCTAAGGCAGAACTATAACTCCCAGTCTTGCAGTTTCTAGTCTGATGACTTAGCCATTGCATCAATCTGGCTTTCACAGTTTTAATTTACTTTAGTTGGAATTAATATGCATCTAAATATCAGTACGTTTGCAGGATATTATGAAACTATCTACCACACATTTGAATACATTCTTGATGGCATTTGGATGCTTGTGTCCATTACCCAGTATATAAAGAAGGAATTTCATCCAAATAAAGTTTTTAACATGATTCTTAGTAATGTTTATGTGAATTATGATAATTATGTACCTGGGGATGAAAACATGCTAAAGATTTAGTAGATCTGTTCCGTCTTTTCTATTCATCTCTATCACTTTTGTAATGGTTTGGCAAGATCACAGTGGACAAAAGTAATTTCTTCAGATGGTGGTTTTAAAATTTCTACCTACACATATTAGATGTGTGAAATTCTTGTATGTTCTTAAGATTAGAAGTATCTATGCATGAGTCTTTTGCACTCTTTTTGTTTCTGTATAAATATGATTATGGGAGTTCTCATTATTATCTTGAGAAGCATAATCTGGATGGACAGAAAATTTTACAAAAAACATCAATGCAAATGGTTGGAACTCAAGTACCTCTTCTTCTCCAACACAACCATAAAGGAGACCTCATGTACTCCTCTGAATAGGTTAGGAATGACAGCTGATGAGTCTGGGATTTTTGCTGCTGGCTACAAGGAAAAGAAAATCATTGCAGAATCATTTCTTATTCAGAACTGTCTGTTATCCATAAAGTATAAAAGGACATAGAATTCCACACACAAAAAATTTAAAAAGGAATTTCGGTGTGTACTATGAGGATTTTCTCTTGAGCCCAGTTCCCTGCAGTACTCTAAAAGCCACTGAAAATCTACCAGACAGAGGAAAAAAGCTTCATAATGATTCATTAAGATATAGGCATGATCATAATTCAGGTCTAGCAGCCCTGATGTCTAGTAGCCATTCTGATCTAGGAGCCTTGGTGGCACAGTAGTTAGAATGCAGTATTGCAGGCTAACTCTTCCCACAGTCTGGAGTTTGATCCTGACTCGTTCAAAGTTGACTCAACCTTCCATCCTTCTGAGGTTGGTAAAATGAGGGCCCAGATTGTTGGGGACAATATGCTGACATTGTAAACCATTCAGAGAATACTGGAAAATACTATGGAGCGGTATATAAGTCTAAGTGCTATTGTTAGCATGTTTCACCAAATAACAGTATTTTGGCAATGGAGCAATATATGTATTCCCATAAGATCCCTTATATGTATTGGTCAAGGTAATGCTGCATTGTTGCAAGAATTGCATCTGCTGAAGAACAGTTATCATAGGAGTGTCCAATTCTCATAAACAGTTAAATTGATGACAAAGTACAATATTGAACAAGAGATGTGCACTCAGGCTGCTACTTCAGAAAAATGTCTGATTGAAGCTACTATCACTACTACTACTACCGTGTTTCCCTGAAAATAAGACCCTGTCTTATATTTTTTTGAACCTTGAAATAAGCGCTTGGCCTTATTGCCATGCGCTCAAAAGCCCGATTGGGCTTATTATCAGAGAATGTTTTATTTTGAGAGAAACAGGGTAGTATTCTTCATGAGATGCCACTGCTGGCTTTTGGGAACTGGAATTTGGGTCCTGCTTTCAAGTTTATTATTTATTTATTTATTTATCGGACTTATATGCCGCCCTTTCTCCACAAGGACTCAGGGCTGCTGACAGCAATAAGCAGCAAGTCCAAATTAAAATTCAAACAATAAAAGAATCTAAAATTCCCATTAAAACCCCTTCAGTCCAGGCCAGCCTGGCGAAACAACCATGTTTTAAGGTCACGGCAAAAAAAGCGAAGGTCGGGGACCACCCAGAGCTCCAACGGGAGCCGATTCCAGAGGGTAGGTGCGCCTACAGAGAAGGCTCGCTCTCTAGGGGCTGTCAGCCGACATTGCTTGGCCGACGGAACCCCAAGTAGGCCCTCTCTGTGTGAGTGCACTGGGTGATGGAGCTGTTGCTGGCTGCAGGTGATCCGCCAGATACCCCGGGCCTAAGCCATGTAGGGCTTTATAGGTAATCACCAACACCTTGAACCTTACCCAGAGGGCAACCGGTAGCCAGTGCAGGTCACGCAGGAGGGGTGTGACATGGGAGCATCAGGACACTCCCATCACTACCCGCGCGGCCACATTCTGCACCAGCTGAAGCCTCCGAGTGGTTTTCAAGGGCAGCTCCATGTAGAGAGCATTGCAATAGTCGATCTGGGAGGTGACGAATGCATGGGTGACCATGCGTAAGGCATCTTGGTCCAGGTAGGGGCGCAACTGGCACACCAGACGAATCTGGGCAAATGCCCCCCTGGTCACGGTCGTGACATGGTCTTCTAAGGTCAACCGTGCATCCAGGAGGACGCCTAAGTTGCGCGCCCTATCCACAGGGGGCAACACCTCTCCCCCTATGACCAAAGGTGGAATATTCCCTTGGAACCGAGACGCTGGTATCCACAGCCACTCTGTCTTGGCAGGGTTGAGTCGCAGCCTGTTCCTCCCCATCCAGAGCCGCACCGCCTCCAGGCATCGGGACATCATGTCGAGGGCATCACTGGGCTGATTCGGGGTGGATATAAAACCCCAAAACCACGGATGATCTCCCCCAGTGGCTTCATATAGATGTTAAACAGCAGTTTAATGACAAAGACATTCATTTTCTTCTCTTCCATGTCTGGTGCTTAAGTTTGTGAACTGCTTTGTAAGGCCAATATTTCTGTATAAAACTACCCTAAAATATAAACTGTTCTCTACAATTGCTAAAACTAGACAAAGGGAACCTATTTTGAACAACGGAATCCAAAGCTTTACTTATTCATTTATTTATTGAGGAAGATGATCCAAAGCTACCTATGTGTATGGGCAAAGCACAGTGTATCACCCTCAAATGGATCTTAAAACGACTACACTCAATTGAACAGTCCCGCGGTAGCGCCGCAAATCCACATCGGTATCCCCATAGTTTAGGAATGCTAACTTAATCTCGTACAGGCCCCACGGTGCCACGTTTAAGGCGCCTTTAAACCCTTGCCTTTTTAAGGCAAATGACTGTCCTGTCGCCAGGCTCCATGTCGCCCGCTCGGTGGTCTGGGACTCCTCCGGCTGCCGCTGGGGGGGGCCGGAGCTGCGCCGGAGGAGCCGGGCGGGGCAGCCAAGCCGCCTTCGCCACCGCCTCCTCCCGCCCACAGCCATGGCCGACGTGGAGGACGGAGACGAGCCCGGCATTTCTACTTCTCACTCGGGTTCTTCCGGTGCCAAAGCTGGCGGCGCCGACAAAATGTTCTCGCTGAAGAAGTGGAACGCCGTGGCCATGTGGAGCTGGGACGTCGAGTGCGACACCTGCGCCATCTGCCGGGTGCAGGTCATGGGTAAGCGGGGTGGCGGCAGGCAGGCTCGGTTGGAAAAGAAGGCCTCATCTCCGCTACCTCCCCGTCCCGCTCTTTCTCCTGGGACGGGAATGGGCCGCGCCGGGCCAAGACCTCCTCCTCCACCTTCCCCGGTAGTCTTCCGTGGTTTTGGAGTCGACGAAAGAGCGGCCCTTCGCGGATGCCGAGTGGCATTAATGGAGGAGGCCCTCGGACCCGCAGCCTTAGTTCAAAGGAGTCGGTGGGGGAATCTCTCCTTCCCGGATTGTCTTCTTTAGGGAGCGCTTCTTTTTGCTGTACTCCCTCGTCCTTTTCCCCGCTCTCCTCGATTTAGTGCAACTGGGAGAAAGGCTACGTTAAGGTTAAGGTTACGTCATGCCTTCTTAAATCATTTTGTGGGTTGTATAAAATGAGATATTTCGGGGTGGGAAGTCTTTATTTCCTATCCAACATAACAGAAGGTTCCTGCGTTCAAGGGGTAGCTAAGAAACATTGTAACTCAAATGATACCAATCCCCACCTCTTTTAAAAAATATATCGAAGTACTGAGGTATCCTTCATAGGTACTGTATTTGAATGGATGTTTAGTAAGCCCCTGATAGAGGCATTTTCAGGAAGCCCACATTCATGTAATTAACTCATGTAACAAAACGCTTTTAGAGGTGTTCTATAGGGTATATAATCCGCAGTAAATCTGCGTATAAAATGAACAAGTGTTGTGATTAAGGTGGTATGTAAAAATAATGAAGGTAGGCATCAAATACATTTTTTAACACACAGCAGCTGAAATTGTAGAATTCATAGCTGCAGTGCTCAATTCATGTAGACCAAACTGGATCTGACTTGCTGCATGTATTTTCATGTATTCCTCATGTGGATGTGTAAACTTTTTCTATTCCCATAAAAGTATAAGAAGATGGTAGTAATATGATTTGAGCACATAGCTATGTTTGCACTACACTTCAAACTATGCTGTGAGGATCCAATTTGTATGATTAGTTTATGGCTCAAACATTGATTAATTCAGTAAATTGCAAATCAGTTAAATATTGGTAGGGGTGTTGTGTGAATTTATGTGTACTGAGTAATTCAAACAGCTAGGTCTTTGACTGGTCAGAGTACAATGTGAGAGGTAGTTATTTGTTTTCACTAATATGCTGATCTTTCAGTAATGTCAAAAAATATTCAAATTATATACATGATTGACACTGTTCAATTTCATTGTAGGAGAAAAGCTGTGTTAATCTATAGTAACCCTTTTCCAAGTCTTATTAAAAACCACACACTTTTGTATCCTGGAAGTGACTGCAGCTCACAAAATATATGCCTTTTAATAGAATTTAGAGAAGGCTTATTGCTTGGATCATACAAATCAATACTCCAGTGTCAAAAGTCACATTTTGTGTCTTTAGGATGAATTTAGGTAATCCAAAATGTATGGTTTCCCTGCATAATTAATCTTGTTATGTATTTGTGTACAGCACAGGGGTATGTATTGCTCCAATATATTTAATGCATGGCACTTTGGGAAGTAATACCAAATATCACTTCGTATATACCAAAAATTTGTATAAAATATTAGTAGGCACATAGTATATTTCTCTTTATTTTTACTTGGGATTATAAAGAAAGGAAGGCCATATACGTTAGCTTTAATTTTATATTATCTTGTAAGTGCCCTAACTTGATCATTCATAAATCTTTAGTAACACAGCACATCCTATTAAAAAGAGAATTATGCTATGTCATTTTTGAGGCATAAAGGACATGCAGCTTATCAAATATCCATTTTTTTCTTTGTACAAATTATACTAGTTTGTAATATGTTATTCTAAATTATGATATACTAGATATTATATAATTTATATATTAGTTTATATATAATTATGCTAGTTTTTAAAAGCTATCTGCAATTTAGTTGAACGAAGTAAACATAGGTAACATAACATAGATGAAGCTGAATGAATAGAAGGGCATGATTTAGAGTGAATTAGGATACTTCATAATATGGTCTGCATATTCTGTAAACATTACTAATATTGCATCGAAAACATAACAGTCTTGCTCTTGTTTACATCTAGATGCCTGTCTTAGATGCCAAGCTGAAAACAAACAAGAAGATTGTGTTGGTATGTTTTTGGGTACTTTCTGTTGTTATTCACTAAAAGGCTCTATCTTAGTGGTAAGGGGTTTAAAACTTCAACTAAATGTCTTATTTAGTAAAGTGTCTCTTGAATATATTGTATAAAACACTTAGAATTATTAGGTTAAACTATATTGATACAAAGCTAGTTGTATTGGTATTTAATTAGGAAAATAACAGTTGCTACTTCTTTCCCTATATCTCTCTCTGGTTTTTAAAACAGAAACAGTTGCTACTTCTTTCCCTATATCTCTTTCTGGTTTTTAAAACGTTTTGATGAAACAGTTAAGCATCATTTTAAATTAAAGAGAATCATTTGACTTCATAACTTATTTTCTATGTCTGAAGGAAGTTTCAGAATTTGGAGAGGATGTTTATATTGAAAGATAACTTCGAAATCATTTACCGTATGTGAGGAAGACCAAAAAATGCATGGTGCTCTTGCCCTTTCTCCCATACTTCCTGTGTTAATGGAGAAATTATTTACCAATGCTACAATCTTATCCAGAAGTGGAAACCCTAATTGTGATTGTAACTGTTGTCCATACATATTTTTCTAATAACTAAAGCATCAGGTTTTGATGCTTCCATTTTATCCTTTCCAAATGATACCTGACACCTTCACTATTAAGAAGAAAAGTCATGATTTAAAATAAAATCTAGAGTTAATAATCAAGATGTGTTTAAACAATGAATGACTTATTTAATTAGTTAGAATTTTCTTTAAACAAACCATTGATACTTTATAAGAAGCCAAGAATCTGAAAAAAAAGAAAAGAATGTAATCATGGTTTGTTCTTTGTTCTAATCATAGAGAAAGGAGCAAAAAAGGTGAATGCTGAAGTCCATGAAGGTTTAGGGGCACTATGTATGCAGTTCATAATAACTGCTGAAATATATTAATTGTACTTTACTGTAGGATATGCAGGAATAGGAAAAGTACTGCTTGACAGCTCTACTCTTAAAAATGTACACTATTTTTTTTTTAATTTAGGAATGTATAATATTAACTGCAGGGTTTACACTTTGAATTACATATTGTCATAAATGATTTCTGCTGTCTCAAGTTGCTTTTCTTTTTCTTTTAGTGGTCTGGGGAGAGTGTAATCATTCGTTCCACAATTGCTGCATGTCACTGTGGGTGAAACAGAACAACCGTTGTCCCCTCTGCCAGCAGGACTGGGTAGTCCAAAGAATAGGCAAATAACATGGTTTTCAGCTATTGCACCAAAATTGTTTGAAATGATATACAACTAGTGGTATACTTTCTCTATGAAGGAAGTCACAGTGTGGCGAATTCCATCATATTTATTTATGTCTACACAGGGACTTGGGTTTGAATTTTTTGTATAAGTTTACTGGTTTTTTGGTCTTTAAAAATCTTCCATCAGGAACTTAGCTGCAGTATTTAAGAATATATGTAAATATTTAATATGAACACTTCATTTATTTGGGAATTATTTAGGGCTTATAAGTCTATGGTTAGTAATATGAGTAACTTCAGCCTGAAATGTTGTTTTTTTTTCAAAATGAAGTTATTAGTTAATAAATGAGGTGCATTTTTTTATTTTTGGTTTTATCATTATTTAGGTATTGATTAATGCTTGTTATTATAGTGCTTTAAGTTGAAATTGAATTAGCTGCCTTTTCAAATATGTACTTTCTTCACACTCAATTAAACCTTTTATCCTTGTGATATGTGTAAGTTGTTTGTCCATATAAGATAATGTATTTAAAATATTAATAGTTCATATTAAAAAGTTTGAACTTGGAAACGTAAACTAGTAACTAGGAAATTATACATTTATCTGTTTCATTTAATGTTGGGGTTGTTTCTCTGGTAGATGTTGGCAGAATTTGTCAAAAGACAACATGCTTGGATTGAAGCATCTAGGGTTAGGCTGTACATTTGAAAATTGTGCTTTCACAGCACCTATAAGATCAATAAAAAAATATAGTTATTGCTTTCAGACAAATCTCATCTCCATACAACAACAGAAGAAAAAGGAAAACAAGAAACTAAAATTAAGAAACAAGTTCTTAATACAAATTCTTAATATTTGTTTTGTATGATTAATTGAAATGCTTCAGACATTTTATACTTATTTAATCCTGTTTGGAAAGTAGGCATGATGTGGAATTGCTTTCACTCTTCAAATTTTCATTAACCTCAAATGTGATCAATCTAAAATTGAAGATAAGGTTACATTAAAATATAATTTACTTTGTTGTTAGAGGTAAAAACCTCTAAGCTTGTTGCTGCAACAAATTGATTGGTTGTGAACTGTTTGAATGGACCAATCAGAGCACGGTTTCCTGGCTCTGAGTTTCCCGCACTTTCCAAAGGTCAGAGAGGTGTATATAAGTAGCAGCAGGAGCAGAGCCACAGCAGAGCTGATGAGCTACGCAGAGCTGCTACTTATATACTGGCCAGGAAGCTGTGCTCTGATTGGTTGATTCAAAACATGCAAACTTAACAATCAATTAGTTGCAGCAAAATGCTCATAGGCTTTTCCTCTGACATTTGTGTATTAAAATAAGATGTGAGACTCCAGTCTTCTTGCATCAGAAGTAATGTTCATACTTGACCATTTATAACCACAACATTTTGTTCCTTTTCTACAACAAGCCTTCATAAAAGCTGCTACTCTTTTCTGAACAATTAAGGGATAAATGCTTTCTACTGCTGCATACTTATTAAACTGTATCACAGAACATACTTCCCAAGCAAAAATAGTTTGATGATTGAAACTTGTACATATTGTAATATGCACTTCACTCCATAACTTTATTTGAATAGAAATTTAATTTCTAGGTTTCTTTTCTTTTACATAAAATGTGGGTGACACATGATTTTTTTCTAAAAACACATCTCTGCTGTTGTCAGAACTTTAAAATATGCCAAAGAAAATGTTCAAATTATTTTCTGAGTCTCCAAAAACTAAAGATGAGGCTAGAACCCAAATCTGATAACTGAATAGTTTCATATCAGCTTGACATTCCAGATTCTGAATCCATTGTTTGTCTCTTTAGTTTTAGTAAACTTTGGTGGCTCTAAATAAACTATGAGAGAGGCCTTTCTCACCATAGTAAGACACTGTGATTTGGAAGTTTGGGAAGAGTTGAGCAAAGAAAGTGCAGTTGTGCTTCCTTAAATATTGAACAGAGAGTGATAAAACTGGTCTGGTTCTTGTAGCATCCCACAATACAGGTAAGTCCTTAACTTACAACCATTTGTTTGGTGATGAATTACAACAGCACTGAAAAAGTGACTTGATTTTTCACACTTGTAAGCATTGCAACATCCCCATGGTCACATGATCAAAATTCAGATGCTTGGCAACTGGCTCATGACAATTTCAGGGTATCGTGATCACTTTTTGCAACCTTCTAACAAGCAAAGCCAATGGGGAAGCTAGATTCACTTAACCATATTCTAACAACAATTGCAGTGACTCACTTAACACCTGTGACAAGAAATGTAATAAAATGGGGCAAAATTTAACTTATTTTAGCAACAGAAATTTTGAACTCAGTTGTGATCAAAAGTCGACTAGCTGTACACCTCTCTAATATAGGAGCCACTAATAGTACTGAATATAATTTTGGGGCCAACCATGTCCCTAATTGTCATGCCATGAAGCCCATACTTAATTAGCCTGCTAATTAATGTGTCATGGAGCACTTTATTAAATATTTTGTTTCAATCAAGGTATATCTTTAAGTTTCTTACAAGCTAGCAAAAAATCTAACCAATCAAAAAATGAATTTAGATTATGCTGGCAAGATTTGATCTTGACAAATCCACATTGACTTCTGGTAATAGCTGCATTGTTTTAAAAGAGCCTATTGATGGATCTCTTTATCCACTCTGGGATCTTCCTAGGTATCAATGTCAGGTTGACAATTGCATAATTTGCTTTTCCTTCTTTGAAGATAGGGGCCATATATGTTCTCATAAAGGTAAGATATCCCTAAATTTAACATGCCTGCAAAAGGAAATACCAGGGGGGGGGAGGGGAGGGAATCAGATTTTTGTCAATCTAGGGATGCTAGTTGTAGCTGAAATTACTTTTGGAAGTTTACCGTTACCCGTACCAACAAAGTGTGTGACTACCTTTTATGTATAGGTAGTCTTTGAGTAATTGAACATGACCATTATGATTAAAAATAGTGAGAGCTGTTAAATGAGACAGCCTCGCATAACAGCCCACATCCTTGCTCTTCCTGATGTGGCCATTAAATGAATGTGTAGTTTGTTAATCTGTGCATGGGGTACCATGGGTGGGCAAGGCCCCTGGAAGCCTAGTGCAAGCCTAGGACTGCCTTCCAAGACCACCTCCAGATCCCAAGACACCTTGTGCTGCCCTTCCCACTCCTTGGACCATTGCAACTTCCCACTCCTTTGACCTTTCCCTCCCCCAACGGTCCCCACAGGCTCCCCCAATGGTCCCCACAGGCTTATTCACCCTCCACCAGGTCCCCATGTACTTTAGACCTTACTTCCATCACACCAAGTCTCCACACCTTCCTCCTCACCTTTTGAAGATCTCCAGTACTCATGTTGGGGAATGAGGGCAACTGACCTATACCTGGGCCATGTAGTTGCCTCCTGGAAGCAGCCATCATTTTCAGCAGCTTGTAATTCCTAAGGCAGCAAAATAGAATGGTTCATCTCTGGGCCATGTAGCAGCCTATCAGCAACAGACACCATTTTGGATCCCCTGTGTAGATGGGCCAAAATGGTGGCCGCTTTTGGGTCATTGCCATGTGGGCGAGGAAAATTGTGTTTTGCTGTGTTAAGAAAGATGCTGCAGCACTGTGCAGACCACATTAAGGCAGCAAACTGGAATGGCTTGTTCTGGCTGGCTGAACCAAGGTCCCTCAGCTGGCTTCATGTCTTAAGGCAATACTAGCACTCCTGCTCTTATGTGCTAGAAGACAGTGGGGTTTACTCTCACTTTATATACTAGTGGCTTCCCCTGTCATTGTTGAAGGGAGTAGTCTTGGTGATTCCCTTTACAGAATAACAGAATTGGAAGGGACCTTGGAGGTTGTCTAGTCCAGGATACCCAACCCTTGGCCACTACAGGGCCATTCCTATTTGGAACTGGACCATGTGAGTGGCTGGGCAGGGCACATGCACACACAGCTTAACTTGCGTAAGCGGTGGGCAGATGGGCATTCATATGTGTGCGTCGGCCTGCCACTCGCACAAGTTGGGCTGTGCGCAGACACATGCGCACTGGCCTGCCACTTGGCCCAGTTCCCACCCCCAGAGCCAGGCCACCAAGCCACAAAGTATGGGGACTGCTGTTCTAGTCCAACTCACTGCTCAAGCAGGAGATCCTGTACTATTCCAGTCAAGTGGCTCTCCAGTCTCTTCTTAAAAGCCTCTAGTGCAGTGGTGGGTAGCTCCCGGTTCGCACCGGTTCCCGAGAACCGGTAGTAAAAATCTCTTATCGTTCGGAGAACCGGTAGTAGTTGCTGGCTGGCCACGCCCCCGAACCGGTTCCCCAGCCGCCATGTTCATCACCGCCATGTTCTTTGCACATGCGCATCCTATTGCCTTGCAAATCCAATGGAATGTGCATGCACAAAGAACATCGCGACAACAGCAGATGCTTTTTGGCAGCCTGCGGAGAAAGTGGCTGGCAAAAAAGCCTTTTCGGAGGCTTTCTGGCCAGCCACTTTCCAGCAGCGGCAGCTGGCTGTGGGCTGCCAAAAACTCAGGTTAGCTTGCCTTCCCGACTCTGGACCCGCCACCGTGGAAGGTAAGCAGCCGAAAAAAGAAGCGGTGGTGGGGGAGGAAGATAAGCAAGCAGGCCTGGCCACGGGGACCACCGGGAAGGCAGGCAAGCATGTCAGGGCTGCTCAGCTAGCTAGCTCCCTTCCCCATGGCCCTACCATGCTTACCTGCCTTCCAGCCCAGCCAGCGGGTGGGCGGGCGGCCCTTCAGGGAGACGGAGCCGCTGTGCTGGAGGTGAGAGGATGCCAGGAGCAGCGGCGGTGCTGGGGGAGGGTGGCTGGATGCCTCCCTCTCTCTGTCACACACACACACACACGCCCTGCCCTGTTGCCTCCACTGCTGCTTCTTTTGCGTTGGCTTCTCGCCTCTCTTAAAGTTGATCGTGAAGAGCTGGAAGACGTTTCCTTAGATCTCCCTCAAGTCATTGTGCAACGTCAGAGATCTACATTGGCTTCTTTAAGAAATGTGAGAAGCTAATGCAAAAGAAGCAGCAGTGGAGTGACAGGGCAGGGTGTGTGTGTGTGTGTATGTGTGTGTGTGTGTGTGTGTGTTTATCCCTTCACAAGGACTTGGAGGCAGCCCCTCTGAAGGAAAGAGGAGGCGGCGAAGCCCTGGGTGTCTCCCGGGAGAGGACCGCAGAAGGACATACACACACACACACACACACACACACACACACACACACACACACACACACTGTCAGCTCCTCTGCCACTTCTTTTGCATTGGCTTCTCGCCTCTCTTAAAGTTGTAAAGTTTCCTTAGATCTCTGATGCTTCAACAATGACTTGGGAGAGGAAACGGCGCCTGGTTTCACTTCTGGGACAGGAGAAGCGAGGAGCAGCAGCTGCTGTAAAGTTGGAGGCTCTTGGAAATATTGGGGGGGAGGGCGAGAGGGAAATGAATCTCTTCTTGGTCTTGGGGGAGAAGTTTGTCAAAATTCCACC